AGAGCGAGCGGCGCTGTTCATACAGGCGGTAAAGGAAAGATTTGGAAAAGGCTGTACCTTTGCTTTTAGCTAGAGGAGCAGGAGGAGGTGGAGACGACACAGAGCCCACGGGTTGGACAGGGAGGAAGAAGAGGAGGAAGAGTGAGTTAATCCAGCAGACGTCACACACATTTCTTATGTGACACAAAACCAGAGCAGCAAGGACAGAACTGATGGATGAATTATCAGAAGATATCTGAGTTTAAATGATTCATCCTGTCATCTTCAGCTTTCATCTTTAGGTGTAAACATGAAGCTCGTGACGTCAGAAAGTTTCGGCTCACTCTAAACAGATTTCTAACTTCAACATGAAAGATTTCATCAGTAAAAATAATTTCACAAACATTTGGAGTTGGGTTGTTCCATGTCTTCACGTTTGGGCTCGATGTGTTAAATAATTACTATAAACAACCAATCAGACAACTGGGGCGGGGCAAAACCCGGAAATGTCAGACTCTTACTGACATCCTTTTTCCTGAGTCAAAAAGTTTGATACTAAAAATGGAAAGATGTCGGCGACGTCCGTGTCCCTTTAAGGAGCTGGAGCACCTGGAGTCACACAGGGCCGTGTTGGAGTTGAGCAGCGCCCCCGCCTGGAGGAGACGAGAGCAGCGGACGCAGCAGGGGGCGTGGCTGGAAGCCGGCGCTTAAGCCGGACACATTTCCTCCATGCAGCTCGCGGGTGACGAAGATGTCACGTTAGCATTTATATTTGTTTACTTTTAATTTTAATACTGGTGCCAGTTAGCATCCCACCCCCCCCCCCCCCCCACACACACACACACACACACACACACTTACTTGTAGATATAATATAGTGTATATACGACATGACAGTTGTGATAATAATAATAATAATTATGCATTGAACTTATATAGCGCGTTTCTAGACCCCCAAAGACGCTTCCACACACTCTCACATTCACACACTGCTAGTGATGGTAAGCTACTTGTAGCCACAGCCGCCCTGGGGAGGTCTGACAGAGGCGAGGCTGCCATTTGGCGCCGTCGGCCCCTCTGACCACCACCAACACAGGCAAGTTGGGTGAAGTGTCTTGCCCAAGGACACAACAGCAGGATACTCCTGGCGGGAGCTGGAATCGAACCCATGACCCTCCGATCATGAGTCAACCCGCTCTACCACCTGAGCTACTGCTGCCCCATAATAAGATAAGGTAATAAGACATATATCATAGACTCGTGCATATGCAGACATGACTAATAACAAGTAAAGGTTAGCAGCGTAGCTTCATGGCCTATATAGTTGTCATCATCGACGTTACATGGTTTACAGAACACACGTGGCTACTAACGTTTCATGTTCTACCACCGGATGTTTGGATCAAGATGGGAACCAATCAGGTCGTAGATCAGGTGAGTGCCAGGCGTTTCCCATCATGCCCTGGGTTTTGCAGCCGGTGGAGAGCAACTGCAGCGCCTTTATCTCACGAGGTTATCGTTGCCTACGTAGGCTTCACGTCAGAGCAAGTCGCACACGAGTCTAAGAGGCACGCCGATCACCGCTGATCCAATCTGCGCAGGACAGGTCCTCTCAAACACGGCCGACGTGACTCACGCAAATCATGTGACCGCCCCATCTAGTGGACGACTGTAGTTTCACCTGAAGTTATCGTCCACTTATCGTTATCCAGGTGAAATCCTCAACAGGTGGTGAAACTGGTTTTAGGCCGTGTCGCCCAGCCCTACAAACAAACAACCCAACAACCTACCAAACAAACAAATACACACATAATAAGCATTGTCGCCTTTTTGGTTTGTGCAGATTAATCAAATAAATTGGAAAATTGGTTAAAAATGTTCTTTTAAATCTTAGTAAAACAACAAGAAGAACTTGTGTGAAGATGAGTTTTCCATCAGGAGCCAGATTCACCTCTCAGTTACAGAGGAGGTGGAAACCAGTGTTGGGAGAGACATGGAATAACCGCATTCTCGGATGTCTTTCATTTCTAGGATCGTGCACTATCAGACACATCACAGCAGAACATGCAGCTCCACCACAGACGGGTCACAGAGGAGGTGAAGAGGAGGCGTACCTTGTTCTGCCATCATATGAGCAAAGCCTTGAGGAGGAGGAGGAGAGGACAGAGAACTCTTAGACTCAATACTCTCAGGTATTGTGATGAAACATGCTTTTCTCCAGAGAAGAAGCATGGCATCAGCATTCCAAACACTTCCCAAAGCCTTCCATTGGAGCTGGAGGCTTCCTAAACCCATCCCACACGTTTGTCCTTGAATCCACTGAGGATTCAGAACTCTCACTGACCTGCAGGAGCGACTTCTACCTGAACCTCGTCTGACTTCTACCCTCGCTGGGAGCAAAAACAGGTTCAAGCATCATTTTTTCATGTGTGTCACAAAGCTGCTTCGACTTTTTCATGTTTAAGTTTGAGCTACGGATGAAACAGACCGGAGCAGCGTTGGGTCCAGGTGACTCTTATAAGCTGAATAAATCTGAATAGAAGCAACCATAACTAAAATAACAACAAAGGCTTCTTCTGTGAAGGACTGGATTCATCTCCCTAAACACAACATTTCTGCACACAGAGCACCTGCTTGTTCCGGTTAGGGACAGTTTTCCTTCAAACTCACCTGGAGTTTTCTTGCCGACCTCTGCAGTGAGAAGAGAGAAAAGAAGCAGAAAAGCAGCGTTAGAAACACGCTTCACACTTGCATGTTTGTCATCATGCAACCGACTCCACACGTCATGGTCCATGCAGCTGCGCCGTCTGCAGCACATTTGCATGTTCTGATAACCCAGAAACAGAGAGAAGGTTTGTGTGAGACCATCATTCAGCCCTCAGAAACACGTTACATCACAAGTCTCTCTGGTGATGACTCGCGTTCAGACCCAAGAGCGGCAGCAGGACTAACGTCATCTCGTCTGAAACACCTAGAGGAGCGTGGACTCCTTCAATCTGAGCGTCACAGGATGAGAATCAGCTCTTCATCTCAACTCTAAACCAGACTTAAACAGCTGGTTAACCAACTCTAAACCAGACTTAAACAGCTGGTTAACCAACTCTAAACCAGACTTAAACAGCTGGTTAACCAACTCTAAACCAGATTTAAACAGCTGGTTAACCAACTCTAAACCAAACTTAAACAGCTGGTTAACCAACTCTAAACCAGACTTAAACAGCTGGTTAACCAACTCTAAACCAAACTTAAACAGCTGGTTAACCAACTCTAAACCAAACTTAAACAGCTGGTTAACCAACTCTAAACCAGACTTAAACAGCTGGTTAACCAACTCTAAACCAGACTTAAACAGCTGGTTAACCAACTCTAAACCAAACTTAAACAGCTGGTTAACCAACAGCTGGTTAACCAACTCTAAACCAGACTTAAACAGCTGGTTAACCAACTCTAAACCAAACTTAAACAGCTGGTTAACCAACTCTAAACCAAACTTAAACGGCTGGTTAACCAACTCTAAACCAGACTTAAACAGCTGGTTAACCAACTCTAAACCAAACTTAAACGGCTGGTTAACCAACTCTAAACCAGACTTAAACAGCTGGTTAACCAACTCTAAACCAGACTTAAACAGCTGGTTAACCAACTCTAAACCAGACTTAAACAGCTGGTTAACCAACTCTAAACCAAACTTAAACAGCTGGTTAACCAACTCTAAACCAGACTTAAACAGCTGGTTAACCAACTCTAAACCAGATTTAAACAGCTGGTTAACCAACTCTAAACCAAACTTAAACAGCTGGTTAACCAACTCTAAACCAGACTTAAACAGCTGGTTAACCAACTCTAAACCAGACTTAAACAGCTGGTTAACCAACTCTAAACCAAACTTAAACAGCTGGTTAACCAACTCTAAACCAGACTTAAACAGCTGGTTAACCAACTCTAAACCAGACTTAAACAGCTGGTTAACCAACTCTAAACCAAACTTAAACAGCTGGTTAACCAACAGCTGGTTAACCAACTCTAAACCAAACTTAAACAGCTGGTTAACCAACTCTAAACCAAACTTAAACGGCTGGTTAACCAACTCTAAACCAAACTTAAATGGCTGGTTAACCAACTCTAAACCAGACTTAAACAGCTGGTTAACCAACTCTAAACCAAACTTAAACAGCTGGTTAACCAACTCTAAACCAGACTTAAACAGCTGGTTAACCAACTCTAAACCAAACTTAAACAGCTGGTTAACCAACAGCTGGTTAACCAACTCTAAACCAGACTTAAACAGCTGGTTAACCAACTCTAAACCAAACTTAAACAGCTGGTTAACCAACTCTAAACCAAACTTAAACGGCTGGTTAACCAACTCTAAACCAGACTTAAACAGCTGGTTAACCAACTCTAAACCAAACTTAAACGGCTGGTTAACCAACTCTAAACCAGACTTAAACAGCTGGTTAACCAACTCTAAACCAGACTTAAACAGCTGGTTAACCAACTCTAAACCAGACTTAAACAGCTGGTTAACCAACTCTAAACCAAACTTAAACAGCTGGTTAACCAACTCTAAACCAGACTTAAACAGCTGGTTAACCAACTCTAAACCAGATTTAAACAGCTGGTTAACCAACTCTAAACCAAACTTAAACAGCTGGTTAACCAACTCTAAACCAGACTTAAACAGCTGGTTAACCAACTCTAAACCAGACTTAAACAGCTGGTTAACCAACTCTAAACCAAACTTAAACAGCTGGTTAACCAACTCTAAACCAGACTTAAACAGCTGGTTAACCAACTCTAAACCAAACTTAAAAAGCTGGTTAACCAACAGCTGGTTAACCAACTCTAAACCAGACTTAAACAGCTGGTTAACCAACTCTAAACCAAACTTAAACGGCTGGTTAACCAACTCTAAACCAGACTTAAACAGCTGGTTAACCAACTCTAAACCAGACTTAAACAGCTGGTTAACCAACTCTAAACCAGACTTAAACAGCTGGTTAACCAACTCTAAACCAAACTTAAACAGCTGGTTAACCAACTCTAAACCAGACTTAAACAGCTGGTTAACCAACTCTAAACCAGATTTAAACAGCTGGTTAACCAACTCTAAACCAAACTTAAACAGCTGGTTAACCAACTCTAAACCAGACTTAAACAGCTGGTTAACCAACTCTAAACCAGACTTAAACAGCTGGTTAACCAACTCTAAACCAAACTTAAACAGCTGGTTAACCAACTCTAAACCAGACTTAAACAGCTGGTTAACCAACTCTAAACCAGACTTAAACAGCTGGTTAACCAACTCTAAACCAAACTTAAACAGCTGGTTAACCAACAGCTGGTTAACCAACTCTAAACCAAACTTAAACAGCTGGTTAACCAACTCTAAACCAAACTTAAACGGCTGGTTAACCAACTCTAAACCAAACTTAAATGGCTGGTTAACCAACTCTAAACCAGACTTAAACAGCTGGTTAACCAACTCTAAACCAAACTTAAACAGCTGGTTAACCAACTCTAAACCAGACTTAAACAGCTGGTTAACCAACTCTAAACCAAACTTAAACAGCTGGTTAACCAACAGCTGGTTAACCAACTCTAAACCAGACTTAAACAGCTGGTTAACCAACTCTAAACCAAACTTAAACAGCTGGTTAACCAACTCTAAACCAAACTTAAACGGCTGGTTAACCAACTCTAAACCAGACTTAAACAGCTGGTTAACCAACTCTAAACCAAACTTAAACGGCTGGTTAACCAACTCTAAACCAGACTTAAACAGCTGGTTAACCAACTCTAAACCAGACTTAAACAGCTGGTTAACCAACTCTAAACCAGACTTAAACAGCTGGTTAACCAACTCTAAACCAAACTTAAACAGCTGGTTAACCAACTCTAAACCAGACTTAAACAGCTGGTTAACCAACTCTAAACCAGATTTAAACAGCTGGTTAACCAACTCTAAACCAAACTTAAACAGCTGGTTAACCAACTCTAAACCAGACTTAAACAGCTGGTTAACCAACTCTAAACCAGACTTAAACAGCTGGTTAACCAACTCTAAACCAAACTTAAACAGCTGGTTAACCAACTCTAAACCAGACTTAAACAGCTGGTTAACCAACTCTAAACCAAACTTAAAAAGCTGGTTAACCAACAGCTGGTTAACCAACTCTAAACCAGACTTAAACAGCTGGTTAACCAACTCTAAACCAAACTTAAACGGCTGGTTAACCAACTCTAAACCAGACTTAAACAGCTGGTTAACCAACTCTAAACCAGACTTAAACAGCTGGTTAACCAACTCTAAACCAGAGGAAGCTGCTGGATGACAAAACAAAGCTGAGATTTAATCTGCTGCTGACATGTAAACAGATGCAGGTTCATCTGGGATTCATAAGATATTAATGCAGTTCTGCTCACGGTGATCCAACATGGAGCGGTTCAGTTCTGGTCCTGCTGGGAAATCAACCAGCTGATCCTTCATGACCCGGTTTGGGTTTCAGGTTAAACCAAAACATTCTGAATCACAGCAGGTAAACGTGATGCTGGAGAGAGAGAGAGAGAGAGAGAGAGAGAGAGAGAGAGAGAGAGAGAGAGAGAGAGAGAGAGAGAGAGAGAGAGAGAGCTGTGGGGATGATGCCACGCGGTTCGACTCGACGACACGTAGACAAACTTATTTATTCATCATCGGACACGTAATCCAGGAGAATTATATTCTCCCTTAATTCAATACCCAAAGGTGAAGCGAGGACGAGCGGGGATTAGAGCTGAAACTGGATTAGTTAAAGGATGATTCATGATGGGCTGGATAAACTCAGAAAGCAGAGATTAATGAGGTTGTTATGGAAAACTCGTTCATTTCACTTGCAGGTTTGGAACGTTTGAACCTCCAAATAATCTGGGAAGTGAAATTATCCCAGTTCTCTCGTTGCGGGAAAACATCAGATCAGAATCATTTTCCCGCCTCCAAACTGGTGCAGGAAGCTGAGGTCACCGGAGTCATGTGACCTCTTGTGTGAGAGGGCCGTCTGGGAAAACGCAGACTTTAAACTCAAAGGAAAAGGAACGCTATGGAATATAGTTTATGGAATCATCTAATCCCAAATGTCCACCTGGTTTCCTTGGAGAGTAATGGAGTTGAGATGCTGACAGACTTATTAAATGAAACAGCCGTGTAATCTGCTCCCAGCAGCCGTGTCTCATGTTAATCTGAACATACGAGCAGCTGGAGGAACAGCGAGGAGCACCGGAGGAACCCATCTGCTCTCGTCTGGTCAGGAGACCAAATCCGTCAGACGGGTCTGGGACGAGACTCGGGGCTGGACGGGCTGCAGAAGTCATCATTAGAATCAGCCCATCGGTTACCACGGCAACCCAAGTGCCGCTCTGAAGCAGCGAGGCCAGTCTCAGGTAACAGCTGACAGGTTTCTGTCGTCACCATCAGACCAGACGGAGGCAGGGGGGGGGGGGGGGGGGTGTCGACCTTCATGAGCTTCAGGACTAACATGAGCAGGACCAGGATCTCCGTCTGGGACACGCTGCTAAAGTCTGGAGCAGGCATGGAGTCCTGCTCAAGATGGAGAACGCAGCAGAAGGAAATGTTTGTTTAATTCCTTCAGGAAGGCTTCAGACTGAAACTTTGGTGTTTTTAATCTGGTTCGGGTCTGAACCTCAGCTGAGACGATGCCATGTGTGACCTTTGTCCCTAACGTAGCTTAAAAATGTAAACTACGTACCCTGAGTTGGATAGAAAATTCCTGTTTTGGCGACGTTCCTCTCTCCCGTCCTGATAACTAAAGTTTTTCAGCGGAACAGCTAAACTCTGGTTTGTTCATCCCGAACAGCCGGATGGGCAGAAAACCTGCAGATCCAGAGAACGGTTAAACATCAGCGGCTGCTCAGCCGGCAGGGATCAGCCAGTCCTGGCTCACATCCGAGCCCACCTCCAGGCCCATTCCATGAATCCCAGCCATGAGAAAAGGCCCAGAGATGAACAGGAATCAGGAGCGTCTCCATGGAGGGAGAACTCCGCTTGTCACGAACAAAAAAAATAACCCAACCCAGCGTTCCCGTCTGTCTGCAGCAGAGAGAAACGCCCCACATCTCATCCACCCAGCAGATTAACAACCCTAATCTACAACTCCAGATTTACAGGCCTTTTGTCTGCCCTCCTGGGATTTGGCACCATCCCAGTTAGGCTGGAGATTCCACCCCCGAAGCGCTCCAAAGTGAGAGATCGAAGGAGAAAAGCAGTAGACGGAATAGATTCCAACAAATGACCTCTGATCAGGAATAATTAAAGAGAAACCTTCCATCTAAGTGGTATTGATCATCTCATACAACTCAGATTATTGTGTCTCCTCAGCAGCTGCTGGCTGCTGATTTAGAAAACCCAAGGAATGTGCATCGATCGGGAATAATTACAGACTGGGTTTTTCCACGGAGCACGGTTTCATCAGGACGTTTCAGCACAGATCAGATGAAGGTGTCTGGGATGATGAGGAAACATCGCACCGAGCTCTGGAGGAGGGATGTGATGAGGGAACACCTGCTGTCGTGTGATTGGCTGAAGAAAAGGAGCTCTCCTCAGAGGCGTCCTTATCGCTGCCTGCAGGAGCCACGCCATTAAGCTGGGCCTTCCTGGCTAACGGGGCTTTGATTAGCTCCCTGATCTTCAGCTCATAGAGCCAGAGCTAGCAGAGCAACCGGAACCATCCACAAAACTCTAACTCCTCCCCCACGCAGGAGACAGAAGAATTCAGAGATCCGAACTCCAGATGGGAAATCAAACCGATGGAGTTTCGTCGGGATCTGATCCGTTCTAAAGGCTGTGGGTCTGACCACGTCTTTAAGGTTAAGATCAGATTTTTTTTGGTTGAGTTTTCCATCTCTGGTCATTAACCAGACTGGCTGCAGCAAACATAGCCCCGCCCACACAGGAAGCATTCATTTATAAAAGAATAAACGCTGTAATCTAAAAAAAAATAGCGTTTTAATCCTAAAAGTATTCATGTTCTAATCTTCTCCTGCAACAACAAATGAATAATTAAATAATTCCTTTATTATTTTGCTCTGAATACCCTAAACCAGTGACCCACTGGGCTGAAACTGGGAAGGAGAGATGGTGTTGGGGTCGGTTCAATCTCACAACGTGTTTTCTTTGCAACCAGTTGGGTGCAACAACGTTCCAGGTTTATCCCATCAGGTCCTAAAAGAGGAGTTTGGTGGGAGTGTCCCAGCAGCAGCAGCAGATTTATAAACTGAAGGTCTAATCCTGGAAGGAACAACCAGTGGGAAGTCTGATCCAGATGTTCTACGCCAGACACCATCAGGACCAAAGCTGGTCCCCCTCTGGGCTCTGACCGCAGGCAAGTTATGAAAAATACACAAAGTTTCTTCAGTCTTGTTGATTTTGTATTCATGACCTGAATGCTTCTCAGACGTTTCACCAGCTCCTGTTGGCTTTAGGGTCAAACATCACCCAGTGCTGTTAACCCCAATCTAATCCTAACCCTATCCTAATCTGAGTTAAAATAACCTAACCCAACTTAACCTGACTAATTTGTTTTTTGAAACATCATTTGTTAACAAATGTAACAAGCACTTGAGATGAGTCTGAGATTAGTTTGAGATAAGTTAGAGACTAATTAGAAACAAGCTGAAGATGAGTCTGAGACAAATTAGAGACAAGTCAGAGATCAGTTTGAGACATATTAGAGATGAGTCTGAGACGAGTTTGAGACAAGTTTGAAATGAATTTGCGACGAGTTAGAAACAGGTTTAAGATTAGTCTTAAACGAGTCAGAGAGAAGTCTGGGAGGACTAAGAGAAAAGTTAGAGATTAGTTTGACATGAACAGAAGATAAGTTAAACATTAGTCTGACAGCAGTTAGAGACGGTGTAGAGACGACTTAGAGATGAGTTAGACATGAGTTCGAGAAAAGGTTTTGCATGACTCTGAGAAGAGTTCCAGACAAGTTCGAGATTATTTTAGATGAGGAGTCTGAGAAAAATAAGAGATTAGTTTGAGATGTAAGAGAGACGTGTCAGAGACGAGTTAGAGATGCGCTTTAGACATCTAAGACGAGTTTAGGACAAGTCTAGGAGGAGCCTGAAATGAGTTAGTGATGAGTTAAAGACGAGGCTGAGACGTCAGCAACGACTTATTAACTAATATTTAAAGATGTTTAAATTTAAAAAACCACACGAGCAGAGCTGCGGTGACCTGGTCTGATGAACCAGTACAGTCTGACTCCTGAGGGACATGTGTCTCCAGTCTGTCACCAACAGCCTGGTGAGGTTCTGGTTTCGGATGTTAGGAGGTTTTCCTAACAACGCGTAGTGTTTATGTGTTTTATGTGAGTCCCACCTGGAGCTCTGTTGGGATACAGGATAAAACTTTGGTGCTTTACCTTCACTACAGAAGCGGCCCTTGTACTCCGTTTTGGAGCAGTCGCAGATTGCTGCTCCATCCACCAGCGTGCACGTCCCACCGTTCTCACACGGGTTCACCGTGCACCAACCCTCAGACTCCAGGGGCACCTTAAGGCTTCCCAGTAGCAGGGGCTGCGAGGTCCCATATCTGAGGTCTGTGATTGTTCCCCTGAAGGGTTGCATGATTCGTGCTGTAGGCAGTGTAAGTGCACCGGTGCGGATGTCCTGAGGAACTCCACCCAAGAATAGGTCGCTGACTATTTTCATGGACTGACGCTGAGGCTTGACCTCGTCCCCTTTGGCCTCGCCGTCCAGCACCAGTGTCGTACGCCTGCTCGACCTGCTCAGCGTGGCAGTGTGCCAGCGGCCGTCGTCCACCCGTTTAGTGGACACCACAGTGGTCTCAGCACAGTCGATGCTGAAGCGCAGCTGCAGGCGTCCCTCCACCACTGCTAGCTGCAGAAAGTCACAGTAGCCTCCATCATCAAAGTACATCAGCAGCGCCTCAGAGGCGTCCGTCTTTAGCTGGAAGCTGAGGTCACCGCGGGTGCTGGCGTCCCAGCGGAGGTAGCGGGCCCACTGACCTGGTGTGCCCAAAAAGTCCAGACCCAGACAAGAGCTGAGGAGCAGATGAAGCCTGATAGAAAAACCCACAAGATCCATAGCTGCAGGGAACGGATTAATCCAAGGAGCGGGAATTCAATCAGACCGGAATCTTTTGGCTAAACTTCTAGAATCCACACTTTGATCCACAAGAAGATATGTTCAGATAAACATTTGATATAAAAATAAGCTTTGAGAAGAAAAAGGTAGAAGATAACAGTCTTAGTGGTTAACAGTCTTGGTGGGAAGGAGTTGTCCCGACGCTGCAAGGCAGTGATCATGTGGAGGAAGAGGAGCTGCCTGATCCGTTTCTACTCTTCACGGCGGCTCAAGTCCAGGTTTTTGGTGTGAAGTCGGACTTTATGGACGTGTCTGCTTCTCAGGGCAACGTGAGTTTCCTCCATGTTGTCAGATGTGAGGTGGAGGTGAGAGCAGAGCCAGCTTCATCCCTGTTGGAATAGAAACACAGAGAGGAGGAAGATTAGAGGATGATTCAGACTCTGGATTAAACAGCGGGCTGAGCCGGCCGGGGCTGATTGGGTCTTTAAACCATGCAGGATGGTTTCTCCTCCACTACGGTGCTTCTGGAGTTATCGGTCATCAGCCGGTGAATTATTCTCATTTCTCTCATGGCGGAGCACGACGATCAGCCAGCCAGGCACAGCGCCTTTATCTGATGACCAGTCTGCAGAGGCGGCGGCGTCCCGCTCAATCCAGATGAATAACAGGACACCAGGAAACACGGGTGGGGGGGGGGCTTCAGCTGATCTACTTATGCATTTAGAAATGCTTTAAATCAACTTTAAATCTAAAATGTGTTGATAAAAGCAGCTTAAATTAACTTTGAGAAAACAGATTCTTAAGGTCTCTGAAGGCTTCGTGTAATCCCTAATTCCACCTTCTTTATCAGATTAGGATTATCTTTAATCGTGAGTCGTTGGGATTCTTATCTCTAAACGGACATCCCATTGTATCTCTGAGGAGTTCGAGTCCCTTCACTCGTCTCAGAGTTTTGTGGTCAGAAGGAGGACTCGGGTGCAGGATAACTCCAGGTGTGAGGAGAGGCCAAACACAGCAGAACCAGAACATTCCAGATGGATGTGACCCGAGAGAACAGAACCCAGGTGATTACTGAACAGGCACAGGTGAGTTCACCTGGAGTGGAGCTGAGGGAAGGTCAAGACTAAACATGAGCAGAGACACAGATCTAGGGGCAGAGCCTGTTCATAACAGACCTAACTAACAGAACCCAGAGTTCATCACACTGATCACATGACAGGAAGGCAATAAACGCATTTTTACATTTATGCTCATGAGAAGATAAAACTTACATTCTTCACACAAACACTTTAATTGTTGTTTAAAACGTGTGAAACTTTACTTTTCACAGCAGAACACACACACACACACACACACACACACACACACACACACACACACACACACACTCTTCTGGCTGATTTCTGCTTAAAATGTTGTTTAAAAAACAAAAATAAAAACGATAAATGTGTAAAAACCGCTTTAAGCTCTTTAGTTTTCTACCGCTAGTGTTTAACCCTCCCACTGTCCTGACGGGTGAGGAGTGGGCGCCGCCTCACCCGTCAGGACAGTGGGAGGGTTAAACAAAAGTAACTCCACTTTAACTCTGTTGAAAATCCACAGCCAACGCGTGCTGGGCGGGCCTTGTGAGGATACAACACACCCATCCTCTGAATGTGGGCGGAGCAAGGACGCATCTGACGACACAAGAATGAGGCTCTTAGAATTCAGACGGTACTCGTCGCTGCGCTGTGACGTCATCGACCTCAAACCGCGTCCTCACAAGCATCCTGCCCCCAGATTCAGGCACATCCCTCATCCCTCACCCCTCATCCCTCATCCCTCACCCCTCATCCCTCATCCCTCATCCCTCATCCCTCATCCCTCATCCCTCATTCCTCATCCCTCATCCCTCAGCTCCAAGGTGGAGCCGCGGCATCTGTTCGTGTAAAGTAAAACTTTATTTATAAAAACCAAGAACTCCATCAGAACCCAGATGTTCTCTCTATTAGAACCCAGATGTTCTCTCTATTAGAACCCATATGTTCTCTCTATTAGAACCCATATATTCTCTCTATTAGAACCCAGATGTTCTCTCTATTAGAACCCAGATGTTCTCTCCATCAGAACCCAGATGTTCTCTCCATCAGAACCCAGATGTTCTCTCTATTAGAACCCAGATGTTCTCTCTATTAGAACCCATATGTTCTCTCTATTAGAACCCATATATTCTCTCTATTAGAACCCAGATGTTCTCTCTATTAGAACCCAGACGTTCTCTCCATCAGAACCCAGATGTTCTCTCCATCAGAACCCAGATGTTCTCTCTATTAGAACCCAGATGTTCTCTCTATTAGAACCCATATGTTCTCTCTATTAGAACCCAGATGTTCTCTCTATTAGAACCCAGATGTTCTCTCCATCAGAGCCCAGATGTTCTCTCTATTAGAACCCAGATGTTCATTCTATTAGAACCCAGATGTTCTCTCTATTAGAACCCAGATGTTCATTCTATTAGAACCCATATGTTCTCTCTATTAGAACCCATATGTTCTCTCTATTAGAACCCAGATGTTATCTCCATCAGAACCCAGATGTTCTCTCCATCAGAACCCAGATGTTCTCTCTATTAGAACCCAGATGTTCTCTCTATTAGAACCCAGATGTTCTCTCTATTAGAACCCATATGTTCTCTCTATTAGAACCCAGATGTTCTCTCTATTAGAACCCATATGTTCTCTCTATTAGAACCCATATATTCTCTCCATCAGAACCCAGATGTTCTCTCTATTAGAACCCAGACGTTCTCTCCATCAGAACCCAGATGTTCTCTCCATCAGAACCCAGATGTTCTCTCTATTAGAACCCAGATGTTCTCTCCATCAGAGCCCAGATGTTCTCTCTATTAGAACCCAGATGTTCATTCTATTAGAACCCATATGTTCTCTCTATTAGAACCCATATGTTCTCTCTATTAGAACCCAGATGTTATCTCTATTAGAACCCATATGTTCTCTCTATTAGAACCCAGATGTTATCTCCATCAGAACCCAGATGTTCTCTCCATCAGAACCCAGATGTTCTCTCTATTAGAACCCAGATGTTCTCTCTATTAGAACCCATATGTTCTCTCTATTAGAACCCATATATTCTCTCTATTAGAACCCAGATGTTCTCTCTATTAGAACCCAAATGTTCTCTCCATCAGAACCCAGATGTTCTCTCTATTAGAACCCAGATGTTCATTCTATTAGAACCCAGATGTTCATTCTATTAGAACCCAGATGTTCTCTCTATTAGAACCCATATGATCTCTCTATTAGAACACAGATGTTCTCTCTATTAGAACCCAGATGTTCATTCTATTAGAATCCATATATTCTCTCTATTAGAACCCAGATGTTCTCTCTATTAGAACCCAGATGTTCTCTCCATCAGAACCCAGATGTTCATTCTATTAGAACCCAGATGTTCATTCTATTAGAACCCAGATGTTCTCTCTATTAGAACCCAGATGTTCTCTCTATTAGAACCCAGATGTTCTCTCTATTAGAACCCATATGTTCTCTCCATCAGAGCCCAGATGTTCTCTCTATTAGAACCCAGATGTTCTCTCTATTAGAACCCAGATGTTCTCTCCATCAGAGCCCAGATGTTCTCTCTATTAGAACCCAGATGTTCATTCTATTAGAACCCAGATGTTCTCTCCATCAGAACCAAGATGTTCTCTCTATTAGAACCCAGATGTTCTCTCTATTAGAACCAAGATGTTCTCTCTATTAGAACCCAGATGTTCTCTCTATTAGAACCCAGGTGTTCTCTCTATTAGAACCCAGATGTTCTCTCTATTAGAACCCAGGTGTTCTCTCTATTAGAACCCAGGTGTTCTCTCTATTAGAACCCAGATGTTCTCTCTAGAACCTAGAAGTTCTCTCCATC